ATTTATATTTGTCTATACTTTCTGTGTCTATACTTTCTCCGTTAAAGAGATAACTTTAATATCTGATTAATTAATATCTGATTTTAATAATTTTTTTATTATCTTCTAAAATAAAATATATTATATCTTCTAAAATAAAAAATATATATTATATAGAAAATAATATATACATACATAATATGTTTGTAATAGAAATATACATATTATAGATCCATTTACTAAAAATTACACGGATTAAAAATTGATTTCATTTATATGTATATATATATATATATTTTTTTAAATGTATGTAAAATAGGAATCTAATTTTAATTCGAAGTATTACGAAAGTATCGATTCTATTTTTTATATTAAATTTGAATAATATCTAGAAAAAATATATTAAATTAATATAAAACTATATTGGGGAACATATTAATGAAAACAATTTAAACCACAATGATTTATAATTTATTGTAATACTCAATAATGAAAGTTGAATACAATTTTAACGATCAGGCAATTTATTCTGAATTGAGATTGATTAAAAAATCATGAGCCAACGATATATGAAATAATTATTATAATTAGAGAGTAAAATCGTAATATAAAACAATGACTCTCGATTAGTTATTAATAATGTATCACTTAAGTTATGCTAAAAAAAATATAATTCTTATTACCATTGACAATAATTCATTCATATAAGTAAAATATTTTTTCGCAGTCACTTATTACATCTAAGAATAAATATACACATATACATACATTTATGTATATGTATATGTCTATCTTAACATTTATGTTATTGTATATATACATATAAAGGGCATTTCGCGAATAACTTTATTAATTGATTTGACAGGATTTATATTCCACTTCTAAAAGTAAATAACATTTTCAACATTCGTAAAATAATCTCTAATATTTGTATATGAATTAACAATGCAAAAATTGATTAAGAATCCATGAGATTCTTTGACCAATTAAGATAAACATTTTTATACATCTCTTATGATTTCTAACAATTCATTGATAAACTAAAAAATTATATATCTTTGAAACACCCTATATATATATGTACATAATTAAATATATATACATATACACGGTCATACTGTTACAGATGTATAATTGTATACCTATACGGTATATCCATATACAGAACTATATTCGTGCATCTTTATAATAATACAAACAGTCGATATTTCAGTTTAATTATTAATTATTTTTCTTCACATTATGATGAAGCACTGTATACGTCTAGATTCTGTTTGTTAATATCAGAATTAGATCAATGGCAGATCTTCAACCAACTACATATATTACTGATACAGCCAAGGAACAATGATGGCACAACAATAAATTTAATTAAATATATTTTTCTATTGATCTAATTTCATCTGATATCAAATCATTTTTTTTTCTTGAGAAAATAAAAAAAAATATAATTCATTATCTATTATGATAATATGATAGTGAAATTCGAATAATTGTTACATCATTTTTGCCACACGCTTTACTTTAAGTACATCTTTGTTTGTACCCACACACTGACTTTTTTTATAACATTGAATAATTATCATATTAATGAATTATAATAATATATCAAGCGACGATATATTATTTCGACTTGTTATCAATTACAAAATTAAATATATCTTCACGATTAAACAATAATTAATAAAATGATAATTAATAACTTAATTATAAGCGTACAATCTTCGAAAACATATTCAATAATTAATATCAACGTTCTTCGTCATCGAATTATGCCATTTGCGTAGAAGAAACTATTATACTTTTATTATCATTTGGACAGTATTTTCGCTGACGAAGTTTGTATAGAAATTATTTAATAAATCAATATTTGTCTATAATCTAAATATTTTATCCATGAATATTTTATAGCAATACTTATTTATATACATTTTGATATATTTACATAATCGCTGACTATGGTGACATGGAACTATAGCAATTAAGAGGGAAGTATCTTTGTACCAACGTTTATCGAAGAACATACTATTATACTCTCGATACTTCTCGATAGACAACGTACAAAACATGTTTTTTAATATTTTTTTTTATCGATTTCTTCCCTTCTCTTTTTACAAATCGATATGAATAGTTGAAAATAACATAGCACCGAAGGAACTTGGGCAACATTACGCGTATATATTGTTATATATGATAACTCTTGGCAATGATTAGAGTTACTATAATAACACTGTACTTAAAAGCTAATTATCGGTAACGATTAATATCAGTTTTCTCTTGCCAACAATGAAGAAAATTCAGGTAACAATTTCAATCAATCCGATCTGTCCTTCTTTCTTTCTTTTATTTATATCTTACGAACTATGATTAGAATAATGATATAGTTCAATTAGATAAAACATGATTGTACATACACACAGTTCGTAGGATACATTTTTGAAACTCGATCGAAAAATAAAATCATGCAATCAATTAAAATTTTAAATAATGAAAAAAAATGTTAAAAAAAATAGCGCTTTTTTTCTAGGAGATCTCTATCTTCTAAGATGTCGATTTATATTTAGGAACTAGACTCAATTCGTGATCCAAACTACGTTATCAAAAATTTTGATCGTGCTCGATCACATCTTTTGCAGAAGACGCTGTATCAGCTTAGTTGGAAAGACCACTAGAAAAAAGCTCTCGTAATAAATCGGTAAAAAAAAATTAATCACATTGTTCAAAATGGTAGATGATATAATAACACGTTAAAAGGGATAAAAGACAAAGTCCTCGTACGTTCAAACCATTTTTTCTCGGTTAGAAAGTTCCTTCTTCACACCAGATAGGGAAATCTATCTATACACTTTATCGCACTTTATACAATGGATTCGTAATATCGAATAGTATTTTAAAATTTACAATAGGTATACAGAGAGGATATAAAAAGGCGGAGTAACAAAGTAGAATCATCTTCTTTAGATTGTTGAGCACGTATCGGTCGAAATATACGAGGACTTCCTCTTCGAACTATCCTCGTATTTTTAAAGTGTTTAAATGTATACAGCTAATGCCGGGGCTCGAAAAACGACCGGCAGCGTGCGAATCGTCAAAGTTTCTCTGGTGCCGTAGATCTGAAGGTGGATGTAGTCTGTGACGAAATTGGAGGGCCAACACTCGTTGATCGTTCCAACGGATAGATCACTTTACTCGGAGTTGGTTGAGATATTGCACGCTTCGCCAGCCTAAAAGAGCTAACGTATATTGTAATTAGTAAAAGATAAATCAAAATATTCCATATTAATTTGACGTTGCCTGGTATTAATTAAGGTATTTATTTGATACATTGATCAAAACATTTGAGAAATTTTTTAAGAATTGAAAGAATATTCATGATTATATTTGTATTTTCCTTGTTCACAATTATTTTGATCAATGTAATTTTTTCAATACCTCTCAAAATGTTAAAAAGAGATAAAAACATCTTGAAATAGTTAGAAACAGAATAAGCGTTAAACAAATTCAGTTCGCTATTAATTGTAGGATTCATGAATCATGCCTAAAGAACCAAAACATTGGTTATTTTCTTAAAATTATAAGAGGTATTTACAAACACATTAGATTACATTTTAAACGTTAACGTTTCAATTAAAATTTCATAATATGATATATCTATTAACATTCTTCTTTCACTGACTCTAATTATATTATTGTATTTTCTTATATTACTATTTCCTTCTTAAATATTATTATTAAACATTACTATTTATATAATTATGCGATTTTGCTATCGTCTAAGAGACTAAAACTAAGATATATACATATGTCATAGTGTTATAGTGAAGAATCTCTTGAACCGTAGCATAATTATAAAAGACATACTGCACCGATTAATTAAAATCGCCGACGTAGAAGCAGATGAAGACATGGATTAGCAGCATAGTAGAGCTAGCGGTGTATTTTGATATTTATACTGAAAAGCGTGATATAAATGTAATAGTTCCATGAATAAAAAGCATTGTGAGTGATGGAATGACGATGAGGACGAACAGCTATCCCGTCTGCAATAACAGCGATGCAGATAGTGGATTAAATCTTTCATTCTTTGAATGAATAAAGAAATGTGTCCAAATTATATATACATATTCTTCTATTGTGGACACAATAATTTCAATTTTAAAAATTTAATGTAATTTAAATTATTACAGTTTATAAGTGATATAATTGAATAATGTTCCACAATAGTAGCTATTTTAATATAAAAATGACAGAAAAAAAGATTATGAAGTAAAAACAGTCAATCCAATTTAATCTTCTAAGAGGAGTTTAATTAGCAGTATTAAAACCGACTGGCTCCAAACATATAAAAAATGGTTTGAATCGTTACAGGTTCTTGCATATCCGCTCCATTTGTTAGGGTTAAATACACAGCTAAAAAATGACAATTGAATATATCGTGTCATAAAGCATATTTAAAGAATATTTGAAAACACGTGACTTTCTTATTCGGTAATACACCGTATGTCCGTGAGTTGTGGTATTTTTTAAAACAGCATTCACATATATAATCGTGCATCGTGTCAGAGCTTTTATTCTATCACATATTCAATCGTGCTGTTCATTTCTTGTACAAGCAAGATTTGAGCCTGATCAATCAGCAAATGGAAACGCACGAAAAGTTTTAAGAATTTAGCTTAAAAAATATAAATTATTATTAAATATAATATATTAAAAGTAAATGACAGAAATGTTATGTTATGTTATTATAACTTCTTAATAGTTGAACATATAGTTAAACTTTAAAACAACTATATTAAAGTTAAATAATGTGTAAGAAATCCACAAAATAAAAAATTGTTTTTAAGTAGAAGATATTTAACTTTAATAACAATTCAAATTAATAATAATTAAATATAAATTTTTGCAAACAATTTGTTTAATAAAATTTAATATCATAGTTCGTACCATTTGTGATAGATCTAGCTTAATTTTCATTATAACACAAACATTCACCTAACAGATTTCAAGCGGAAAGGGGCTCTAGTTTACCTTGGTCGCTAAAGTGAGATCAGACCATTTTCAGGAAGTAACGAAAAAACTTTTAATTCTGTGTACATCTAGACACTCATAGTTGATTAACCACAAATTCTGGACATGTGTATGGTTGATAGATAAAACATTAAGTTTGAGCGTAGAATGGTGGCGGCTCTTGTCGAGAGCACGAAATATCGATTACGCCGCGTAACATATCTTCATAACAGGTACCTGTAATTAAGAAACTGATAAGCTTTAGACACCGTTCAAATCTTTTAATTAGCAGCTAAAACAGAAATCTATGTATAGTAAGTGTTACAGGGATATCTCTCACTCCATTAGAAAAGAGAGAGAATTTTAATTGCTCCAACTGATACCAAGTATCCTTATAAAAATTAAAATAAAATACATCAAAGATAATTTTTTCTTATAGATGATTTAACATAAGAAGAAAAAGAAAATGAAAATGAAAAATGATAGATATCAATGAATAGATATTATAAATAAGATATGCTAAAAACTTTGTAAACTAGAAAGATGTATAATTTTTGTGCTGAAACTGAGAATAAATATTCCATGATATTATAAATATTCCGATAGAATATTCCGTGATGATTCCTATATACAAACATATGATATAGACTAATGAAATTCTAATATAATTAATAAATAGCAAATAAAATTAAAATTTTTAAAACGATCAGTCTATATCATATATTAAGATTATGCTGTGTCAAATCTATTAAAATTATTCAGTTTATGTACCTTGTTTTCGTAGTTATGATTGTTTTACAGAGAAATCTCTCGATATAAAGTGGATTTTAGTTAACACTGATGAATGTGAGTTCAAATACGAAGATTGCACGCGTCATTGATCGTCTCTGAAACAACTACCTTTGCTTAAAATTTCATACTGATCACAGTATGCATTCTATAAAAATACAGCATTATCTATGTACAGACAATAGAATTTTTATTCTTCGAAATGCCTTACGCCCATTCTGCTTATCTTCTTTCTAGAGGACAATATATATTGTATATGCACATTTCCACCATTCTGCAGTAACCAAAACATCTGAACGTTGAGGATAGCAAGGATTGAAAGAATTATTACCTTAAAAATTCCCACATCATAGCGAAGTGTAAACAATCGAACACAATATACACAAATTAATTAAAATAATCCATCATAGAATAAATAGCTCACCTTCTTCGTCGTAGAGAAGCGTTTTGTCCGGGTAAACCGAATTGACCTCTTGGAATCACCATACGCGCATTACCCTGAGCAGGTCTCGAGCCTCCGTGCGCCTGTAGCATACTTAAATGAGCAGCATAACCATCGTGAAGAATAGTTGCCAAAGCATGGTATTTTTTTGACACTTTCCCAATGATGAAAATTTGATTTGGTTTAAGGTTAATTGCAGTGTAAACACTAATATCTTTACTGCTGCCATATGCGTGATGAATTATTACACCATGTTCCTGAAAAAAACCTATTGTTCGAATATCGTTGTAAACAGGAAATTAAATAAATTATACATAGTTTCAAATAACTGTTCACCTGTACAAGTTTATTTAAATACGCAGCTTTATGACCCAATGGATCTGTTGAAAGACCATCTGCAAAAGATACAAGGCCATGAGGAAAGTTGTGCTGAGACAGCCAGGAAACAACTTTCTGTTGTTGCATATCAGGTCTTGCAGTAATATATATAATTAAGTATCCCAATTCTTGCCAATGCCTAATTTGATAATAATCAAAATAATTATGAATTCAAAAACTAGATATAAAATAAATTATCTGCATAATAGTTTATACCTGACAATATCAACAGCTCCAGCTCTAACTTTCGGATCTTTTCCACTTACAGACATACTCGCAGTAAATGAGCCATCTATACTAAATACCACGCATTCCGTTTTTGGTGGAATCACAGTCAAGAAGAAGTCTACGAATGTATGATCACCTCTACGAATGGTATGAAAATCAAATATTATATAATATTTATTAATTAATAAAATATAATATATTTTTTTAATTATAGGAAATATTACCTAACAATCATTTTAACTGGATAAAGACCATATCCTAATGCTTTATCATCAGGTATTTTATATGTTATTCTACCATTCTTATCAGTTATTTCAGTTGATAAATATGTCCATTCTCCTGCAGGAGCATCCTTCATAATATGAATATCTACTTTTTCGCCTATAAAAAAATATAATATCCATTATAATTGTTTATGTCAAAAACTTGTATACATATATAACATATATAATATTTGATATACCGGTTAAAGCAATAACGTCAATTGGACTATACATAAATCTAGCAATCAGCACTTGAGGTGCTCCTTCTCTAACAATTACATCATTTGCTCTATGATTGGCAGCAACATTCTAAAACAGAAATTCACAAATCAAAGACTCATATCATAATTTCTTTATTTTGTTACCTTACCTTAAGTTTAACAGAAGTACGTTTCTTATTCCACTTTTCTCTAGGTTGACCTGGACGGAAACAAGTTAATTCTTTCTCCTCATTTGCAAGTAATGGTAAGTCAAATCTGCCTAATTGTCGTAAAATAAATGCAATAACGTCAAATGATTCCCAATAACTGGCGTGAAAAAGATGAGGTAAAGCATTTGTAGGGAAATTTGCTAAACCCTCAGGACAATAGAGAGCATAATCTAATCTCTTTGTACCCCACCATTTTTGTGTTACTAGGAGAAATTATTTAAAATAAGAATATAATACTAATTTTAATATTGTTATATTACTTCATTTTTTACTTACAATTTGATATTACTTGTAAAGGGACATTTTCAACTACACCAGACATCGTACTGTGAATCGATATATCGGACAATCGTCTTAAGTGGGACATTGACATATTTGGAATGTTTAATCCATCCGTAAATAATTGTGGATTCGTTTGAATAGCTTCCACTGAAAATAATTTATAATAAATATATATATATATATATATATATATTTTATAAAATATATTAAATTTTGAATGAATAATACGTACACAAATGATAAGGCTGTCCATTTCCTAATGGATATTTTTGATATTGAGCTACATTCACGGGCGGAAGAAGAGAAAATCTTGCAGAAATAAGTGGTTCTAATCTAGCAGCTACAGGATCAGTAGGATGAACAAGTTATATAATTGATTCACCAATGGTCTTTTTATATTAGTCGATTTATCCGCAGAGATTTTTCTATATGCTAATACTAGAGCAAGTGGACTACCAAACATGAAAAATTCTCCTACATCAAAATCCAATTTAGAATGCGTACCCTCACTAAAAAAAGAAACATTAATTATTATCATACTTTCATAATATATATAATTAATATAAATAGATTTATAATTCTTCACCATGTACTAGAAGATTTTCTTCTAGGAGAAGGTGCAGTCAAATGTTTGCCATTTTCAGTGTTCATACTATTCTCAATGCCCTGATTATCCAAAATATTGTTTTCGCTATTATGTCTAGAATGAACAGATCTACACAAAGCGTCATATGTTAAAATCGCTCCTACTGAATCTCCAATAAAGCAAATTTGTCCCGTAAAACCACGACCTTCTTCGCTTTTGATAAAATCATGATAAACTTGATTCGCTCCTGCTATAACTCGTGAGACGGCATCCTGATATTCAGAAGTAGAACTAGCAAGCAGAGGTATAGCGCCGATTGGAATAGTATCGTGTGTTATTTGAGGAGCATCCATAGAGGAAGGTGAAACATCAAAACTATAAGGACTTAAACTGAAATTTATCGAATTTTTATAGATTAAAATTTTACAAAGATATAGAGATAAAGATAATAAAAATAGATAGATAAAAAATATCTCTGATCTAATCATTTTAGTTTTACCTCGATAAAATACCAAGACCTTCAGTGCAAATGGATGGACAGGAAACGAACTTAATAGCAACATGTCCAACCATACTGGAATAGCGTTGTCTCATCACAGATTCGAAAGCTCCTTTGAAAGTTGTGATATCTGATTTTTTCGCCGTTAAATCAACATTAGCATCTGAAATATATTTTTATAATAAATTAATTAAATTATAATTAATCTGAATAATTAGTTCTAAAAGGTATTTACCTAGTACACTTCCTGCATGCATTACAATAAGAAGGACAGTAGTTTTGCATGGTTGATGGGTTGGAGAATGTTGAGGTGAAGCTGGATATGAGGCATCAATGCTGGCTGAAGTAGAAATTTGCAATCTTTTACTGCTACGTTCACTAGCCATTCGTTGTAGATATGAAGGTGAAAATATCGTATCGTCTAAAAATATGTATTGAAATATAATTATCAATTGTAGAAACCAAAAAAAATATAAATGTTTAGAATGCTAATCATTATTTACCTTCTTTGTTTGCCATAGTGGACGAAGTGAACGTATTGTCATCCTCTTCTGCTAGAAGATCCAAAGAACTCCATTTAGCTAATGAAGAGTTATGTCCAAAGTTCTCTGTATAATCAGAAATTTTAACATTGCTTATGCATCGTGCCTTCTCAAATATTTATGACTCATTTTAAGACAGAAATGGAGTAATAGGAATTTTTCTTTTTCTTTAATTTTTTGGATATTATAAGGTAGAAAATAATAATAAAAATATATTAAAAATATGAAGTTAATAATATTTATTTTATTTAATACAATTATTTCATATATATTAATATTCCTTGTTAATATTTTAGATAATTTTTTTACAATAAAAAAGCAGTTGCTTTGTAATCTACATAGCCATGCTGTTTCATGCTGTTATAAATCTTTTCTTGAGAATTTTGCATGCTTGATATTCTATATGAAAATTTATATATGATTAAATTATTTGCAATGTGATTAATTAAATTTTCTTGTAAATATAAATATTCGTAAGCAATAAATTCAACTTGTTTTAGTATAAAGACATCACTGCAATTATGCAATGTTTCTACATTTATAAGGTTTATTAAAATTTGTATTAACATTGATTTTTTATTTTTTAATTATTTTCTAATAAACATGTTAAAATGTTTATAGTTTTAAGAATTCTCCACTATCTACGTGTCCTACCTTCGCATATAATAGGTATAATGAACCCAGCTGCAGTGTGGAATGCGACATAAAAAACAGAGAGGGTACACATATAAAAAAAACAGAAAATGTCATTACCAATCATGCAGTATATTCTACTTTGCAAAAGTATGAGAATTTCTAACAGACACATTTCTATTTATTTTTAACAAATTTTGAATTTGTTTATTTATATTTAATCTATATTAATAAAAAAAACAATATCTAAAAAATCCGCTAAAGCATTTGTTTTATGATTTGATTATATTAGCCACTGTTATTATGCATAAAAATTTTTAGAGAGATTATTTACATGCTATATAAAAAGAATTCGAGTTTTACCTTGACAATCAAAAAACTCATCTTCACTATCAGATTCGGATTCTCTCACGATACTTTCCATGCGCCAATTTGCTATTTGCATATCAAAACTTTTATTCGAGCATGGCGAATTCATTGCCGCTTTGTTCTTCTTCCATGACTTCTTTGCATCTGCTTTTTCCTCAGGAAGATTTCTAAAATAAATTTAATTCCATTAAATACATATATTATAAATGAAATTAAGAAAATTTTCGCGAATAAATAAACTACCTAGTTCTTGATTTTACTTCTATTTTTACCTAAGCTCGGGTACTTCAGTCGGCGAATCTTCAGGACTAACTTCACCCTCCGAACTAATAGCTGTATTTGTCATTGGTATATCAGATGATTTTCTAGTACTTGTGGGACTTTGGAAATCTTCATTTTTCTCGATGCTTCCAAGTGTGGCAGCTAATGTCATGGCAACATCTGATTCTTGAGGAGTCATCGTCGTATTAGAAACAGACTTCTCTTGATTGTCGTTCGGGGATTCTTCACCACCCTCTGCGTTGGCCATCCTTTTTTGCAATGCCAATTGCGTTTGTCGTTCAATTTCTCGAATATTTTCCATGGTCAAACCATTCCATTCATCTTGCCAAGCCCAAGCTTGTCTATGAGCTCTAACCATGGTTTTTCGTAAAGCTGAAATCATTCAATTGTTATAATATATAGAACTAATTAAGTTAGATGTTAAGAAACAAGCAAATATAACCATCTGCAATACTGACCTATATCGTGTATAAACTTTTCTAATTTGGTTTGTACACCCCAATAACGGAACTCTACGCGGCATAATTTGTATGCACACATTAACGATTTTCCGGATGATGTCGGTTGTTGCTTTCCCTAAATGGTAATTAGGGTATTATTTTAATGCATTAATATCAATTATTTTAATATAATAAATAGAAATACAAAATTAATAAAAATAGATAAAAAAAATTGATTTATACTTTTACATCAGCCCAGTATTCTTCTAGCCATGATTCCGTAAGAGGTCCTCGATTAGTTTTCTGAGATACATACAATTTAGGATCCTCCTCTTTTACATAGTCACCTGTATATTGATCCTTTACAATGTCAATTACATCTAAAATACAATTATGAAACAAATTATGTCAATGAATTCGTTATTATTATATTATAAGTAACAGAAAACGATAAGTCATAAAACTTCAATTACACACCTACAATTCTATTTCTCAAATCACTACCACTGAGCTTGAAGACATTTTCTTGATAACCATTGTCAGGAAAATAATACGTTTCTATTTCAATAGAAAACTTTTCAACAAAAGGACAAGTATAACGAGTTTTTGTGTAAGGATAAGCATTCCATGCTTCTTCCTTGGCGATTAACGCAGATCTAGGTAACAAACTCTTGAACCATTCTGGAAGATGACTGCCCACATGATAAATTTTATGAGTATATTGTCCATTTCCTCCTGGACCATTACTATAAGGTTCATTTACTATTATTTCTACACCGCTGCCTGCTCCTTGACTTTCTTCTCTAGATTTTTTCTACGAGAAACAGATTAAAAAATTTTAATAAAACAATAATCATTTATTTAGAATTATTCACATTATCAAAAAAAATCCTATAATTACCGCTATCATGTAAAGCTGAGCAATTCTATATTCTTCTACAGTGAGAGGCAGCGGTATTCGATATTCTTTTATCAACATTTTGCCGCTGTTACTTATTCTCTAGCCACTCTAGTAGATATGAATCGTCTCAAGGTTATTTCTTCTCTTTTATCATTCATGATATCATCGACGTAAATCTTAAAAAAAAAAGGGAACAAAAGAAACATTAAACATTGTATTGAATTCTATTTTAACATCATTCTATTTTTCGATATTGCAAAAAGACTTTTATCGTAATCAAGATTTCCCTTGAGAATGTCAATCAATATTCCTCGATACACTTTTCTCGTAGATCTGATTAACTTTATCATTGTAACAGTTCAGTTATCATCTATATTTTTGTACAACTAACTTGTACCTTTTTTTATTTATTGTTTCGATCTATCAATTTCCTAATTAAAAAGCGAACAATATGAACAAATGCATAACTTTATTTGCATGTCTAATACATTAGAAATAGAAGCCTTCACAAACATCAAGATTGGTTATTTTTTCTACCTATAATTGAAGCACATCAAATGCTGAATCGTGTTGTACATCACGTTTCCAAGCAAATCTACTCTGGGTCAGACAGAGATTAATAATAATCAATGAATTTCATAATTATCCTCGATAATATCGATATTCTGATTTTATTCTTTAAAATAGTTTCATTATTCTAAAAAAAAATATAATTAATGTGTTTTATTCAGAAAAATGAAATCTTTGTAGAAATCGAAACTATGAAAGAGCAATAACAAAATGTTGCGTAAGACACTTATTTTATATTCAGCTACACCACCTTAGTCAAATGTATTATAAACTAAGGCTCTTAACGGGAAGTTACATAAATGATTTTTTAAAAATTATGTTGATAAAAGAACTTATTTATCCAAGTTTATATTTCATACAATTCATAATTATACAATTATTTAAATAATAGAATTATAATGAATTATTAATAAAAGATTAAATATAATAAATCTAAAGTGAAATTTCTTATTTAAAAAAAGCATATTTTACAGCGACAATCTCTGTAAAACTGTAAGCAATCAAATAAAATATAATAATAGAATTATATGCAAATACATATTTATATCTAATTTTATAATTAATATAGAATAATTCGTTTAACGTTTCGAAATATTTACAATTGATACCTGTACGCTGTTTGAAAATGATTTCATTCTCGATAGTTCATGTAGTGCCCGAACTTGTAGTCGCGATTGGACCGTAACCTGTCAGATTCGACCAATCATTTTTAACGAACTCAGCTGACCGTTAGATCTCTAACGGTTGACAACAGTCATATCTTCTACATCGCGAGGTAATACATTTCAAGAATCATTTAAACATATATACGATGCTACATTGATATACTTACAGGTAAAAGATTTCCTTAACCTTGAACATCGTAGCAATAGAGCAAATTCGTAAGTGAAATAAAATAATATTGTTCATCTTGCTCTCTTTTATTCGTGTATCGTATTTTTCGCGCCACATTTTACGGATGAAAAGATAAATTGCGAAAAGTCGTGATAATATTTTCGTAATACAGTTAAATTATCGACGAAAGATCGATAATCAACTGAGATAATAACGCTATTAATAATTAAACTAACATACTAATATATATTTCGAATGATATTATTAAACAGTAAAATTCTTCTAAATAGAATGTATTTGCATTTTTCTTATATACATGTTCATTGTGAATTCATATTGGACAATTCACTATTACGAAATTTAAATTTTAAATGAAACTGGTCCAAAAAACTTCAAAAGCATGATACATGTGTATTTCTATAAATAGTAGCTTGTTTAAATAGTGAAAGTAAAAGCACTTGTTTCTTTTAATAGGTAAGAAAAAAAACTTGATTTTGATATCAAATAAAGTAAAGAAATATTAAATAATAGTATATTCATTTTAGCAAAATCAACTAGTACATACACTGGAAAAAACAAAGCAATCGAAGATTTATCCAAGGATTGTGGAGAATAAACGCAAGGTAAAAATATCACGATGTTACATGAGCAACGCGCGGCCACTGACTGACAGAGAGGAGGTTCCGATTGGCGGGCCCATTGACACGCGCGACTTCTCAAACCCGCGAAATCGAACTGAACCAATCAGAGTGCCTCCTACCGCCTCCGCGACCCAGTGATCCGGACGCAGTGCTGTAAAATAAAGGTGCATACCATTCGTTCTTTTTTTTTAATTTTAAAAAAATTCTCAATACTTTATCTTAAAAATTATCTAAGTAACTTATAAATTGATATTTTATCTATACATAAATATATTCAAAAATCATTATATAATAATTAATAATAGAAATTTAATAATAATAAAAAAATCTTTTTCTTTATATAGAACATAAAAGGAAATGAAATTATATCAAGATACAATTTCAGAATAAATAAACAAGAAAATGAAATAAAACATTTAACATTCGATTCAATGAAAGAAATATTTCAAATAATAAGCATTATATATAATATATAATAGTCAGTTTAAAATACAGATTTCTCGCACGGATTTTCCGTCACTGAAAGTACAGCCACCGTTAGCCGCCTCCACCACCAGCCTCTAACCTATTGATCGACCCCCAAATGAACAAGAAAACGCAAGACCAGATGCGCCATAACATCAGTAAGCTCCCATGAAAACGAGACTGATACGTTCATCAACAGTTGCATGTGTTTCGATAGAGATTGAATCATTGGGTAATATGTAGACCCCTGCTGGTATTTGCCTAAAAACAAGATATATACAACGCAATGTCCACAGGAAGAGTGTGTGTCGAGATGAAAATCTTGTTTTTTTTTTCTATAAATAGTTAAAGTCCAAAAGTATTCCCATTCACAAAAAAGATGAATGAAACAGAGTTGTTACTTTCCAGTGATATCTCTTTCATATAACGAAAATTATTTTTTTATAGAATAAAGAAAAATAAATCATTAAGAAACAAATAGAAAAAATTATTGATAGTCGATAGTAGGATTGAATTATTATTAATAGTAGGAAGGAAAAATTAAAAATAACTAATCAATTCATGTTTCTTAGAGATTATTGATAATAATTAGATATAATAATATTAAAAAAGAAATTACAAATAATTGCAGTTTATATCATAGATATGATATAAATAAATACATTTTAACAATAGAAAGGAAAAATAATAAACAAAAAAGAAAATAAAATATAAATAACGAAATTGAAAAGATTTAAATGAAACAATATATAGAGATGCCAAATATAATGATAAACTGATATAATGATCATTTATATTAATATAAAAAAATAAGATATATTAAGATATAATACATATAACTGATTAAACATAACATACATATATTTATATTTAAATTTATGAAGGAATGTTCTACTCGTTGAGTGTTTCTGTGCATAATAAAGAAAACTGACCTTTGACATTAGTTATTCGATAAAACGTTTTTTCAATATTTCTTACTGCAAACAATATTATTAAGTGAATGTATATAATCAATGAATTCGGTTATTTACAAAAGATAAAAGGGAAAGAATAAAATTCGTCTATCAAGAAATAGAGATTACAGAAGGTTAGTGACGTTCTCTACTTGTGAGTTGGCACAAAAGCGAAACGGATCACTTGATGGACGGTAAAAATTATTCCTCTTTTGTGCAACGAACGATATGTAAGAGACATTTTATGAATAGACAAGCACGATTTAATTCTTCCGAAAGCTTAAAATGCCTAAAAAAAAAAATCTGCTCGAATTGATATCCATTGTAATCTTTGAAATATTTTAACAATCAAATTCTCTAAGGAAAAAAAGATGCTCTTTAACCTTTTTTGAAAAGGGTCTTAATCTTTTATTAATTATGAAAAATTAGAATATAATTTTTTAAATTAGAATATTTTTATTATGAATATATGCGATTAAGTAATAATAGTTTCATTGGAAAATGAAATCAAAGTTGGTTTGATATATCTTTGATAACACGACTTCTAATTTTTTCCATTCCGTCGATTCATTTTAATTCATTAATTTATTTTTTATTCGTTAATTAAAAAAAATATTTTTATTTTTTATTTGAAAAATTTGAAACATTTTTTAGAAAATGTGTTTTTTAGAAAATTTCATAATTTTTTAAAGATATTTCCTTTGAAATTTATATTTTGTTTTAAACAAAAATATGAAAATTGTTGTCAATTTGTAAAAAATTTTATAAATTATATGTTTATAAATTATATAGTGATAAGAATGGAGTATTCACTATACTAGTATATTCCAATCAAGATGATCAAAGTATAGACTTACACATCAAGTGACGTCAAAATATTGAAGGTTGAAGGAACCTGCTGGCACAATATACATATATAAAGTGACGTAAGCAAAAGATTTCTTTAAACAACGGGAGAAGGAGTATGAATATACTCAAAAGAGAATCTAACGTTGACCTTCCATGTAAAGATTCACATGTTCTTTTCGGTAAAAACGCAACTCGGAAAAAAATACAACTTAATGGCTGTTTTATACATATACATAAATATCTGAAATTATTCTTGAGATGTTAATTAGACAGAAAAACAGTGTTAAAAAACGGGCAAGTATGTGATATTATTATATCCTTAACCATTGAAGTGACTTAATTGTACTTTTAAATCTTTTTTTAAAAGTATGCTCCTGAGAAAAAGTTTGCGAAATATACACTATAATCTTTAACTTGCTAGTTACATTAAATATTCTAGAAGAAAAACGTTAGCATAATATATTTATATATATATATTAGCATAATAGAATTTATATTTTCTAAATACTTTTTTTTATACATAAACTTTAAAATTTTCAGAGTGGCAGAAATACGTGAAACGTATTAAAATAAAGCTATATGGACCGAATGCAGTCAAGCAATAATAATCACCGCATTATATTCATTCGTTCACCGGATAGAGCATATCCGGTCCTTGAATAATGCTTGTGGTCAAAGATACTATACTAAGCAACTTTCAAAAGGAAAAATAGAAAATGTAAATAACGATTCATTTAGAAAATTATAATATAATTTTCAAGATTTTTTTTATTCATTACAATCGCAGAATTTGAATATTCTTAATATAAATGTATAATATGTGCATATTCTAAATTAAATTTAATATTACTAAATTAATTACTAAATTAATTATCCATGGCGAATTTTCATAAAAGATAAAAATAATTTTATTTTTCTTGTCTTATGTATTACTTTTCTGATTCTTTATTTTTTTTTTTATACTTGGATCTTCTGTTTCGTAACCGTGTGGAGATATTGGATTTCTAGCAGGATTATGAAACAAAGTGTGCTTACCATCACCCCATGGGAAAGGCTAGGATGAAAATATTTATAAATCATGTAGACAAGTTTTTGTAAAATTAGTTACAAAATATTATAAAATTGTCAACCATAAAAAAATATTCAAAGCAAAAAAAGAGAAAATATAAAGAATAGAGAAGAGAAAAAGTGTCAAATTCCTATGGCGAAGGCAAATAGTTCATAAGACTTCATTAATCGATTACCGCACAAATGGATTATTCCGAGATGGGAAAAAGTCTCATTAGGTAGAAGAATCAGTATAAAACTTGAATGTTACGCAAAACTACGCATATTATCGATTAATTAAAACATGAAACTCAATATTACACCTATATATATTATAATTATATTATAATATATTATATATTATATATATATTATAAATATTAAAAGTGCATAAAATACAAAAGTTCATTATTTAATTAAAAAAAACATGTATTAAATTCATTAGAAAATTAAAAAATTCATAAGTAGAAAAAGAAAGAGCACCTTAACTATTCGCCGCAAATAAGGAACATCACGGAATTCAGGTCTTGGTTCCTTATCCCAATCCTTACTCTTGTTGTAAACGTAACACGACATAATTACTACCGAAAGCAATCCAATGCAAGTTAATATTTGCCAAATCTTTTCTTCATGAGTATACACTATATTTATAAAATCACTTATCATATCATTAAATAAAATTTATACAAAATTATTAAAATTCATCGATAATTATTAAATTAAATTAATATTAAATATTAAAGATGAAAATTCAATCCAACTGCTAACAATTATTATTAATTGTTTTCATAATGTTTTATAAATAATTTTTAAAAATTTTGAAATAACGTCATATTATATATATTATTCAACACGAGAATAGATAAAAAAAAATTATCTGTTTCAAGAATAATAATGCAATTATCATTCGAATATATCTTAATAAATATTATTTATTAACAGTAAATATGTAATGCATTATTGTTGATATTTATATTAATAAAATAATTTTAATTTGAAAATATTCCGATCTCTAAACTAAATTTTTTATTATTTTTAATTATATTTTTCTTTTGTAAATAATCATTTAAAAATTATATAAATATTTTATTTCAGAAGATAAAAATCTTACCTTCAGGAGGACAATAATCTTCTATACTTGGACAAGGAGTTGATGTACATATGAATGGAGTATCACCAACGGATGGTAGACATTTTGTTATAGGTTTGACACATTCTTGTATATGTTCAGGCTTTTTACAGGCATAAGGATCTTTAGTACAGCATTTAGGAATTTCTTGTTTCGCAAGTGTTTCAAGTTTTATCTTATCACATTCTTTTAATTTTGACTTATTACAAGAAGATTCTTTGGAAGAAGAATAATTACGAATATTCTTAGAATAAAATTTTGCTTTACATAAATCTTCAGTCTTCCATAAATCTTTACATAATGACTTTTCATAGGATGGATTTTTCATAGAAGAATAAAATTTTAACATCGATTTTTGAATACATGAACTATGGTATTTTGCTGAAGGACAAAATTTGTTGGAAAACTTCCAAGAATGGTAAATTGGCGCCAAAGGGAACTGCAAAAAGATCGACGATCCACTGTTGAACAAGAAAGCTCTTCTTTCGGCATACATCTTCATATCACCACAATACTCATGATTATTCACGTACCTGTTTCTTTCTGAAACGAACTTTAACTGGAGAACGTCAGAATCATTAAATTTCTTCTTCAAACAAAAACATGAATATTTTCGTTGGTTTTTGATATGTCGACAATGATTGTAATATGCAAAATGCCAATTTTTTTATATTAAAACAGAAATTTTACTATTTATGCTAATGAATTACGCAAGATTTTGTAATTTAATTAAAATCACAGAACTTTTTACAATTCTTCTATTTATGAATTTTAAACAGAGTTTCGATAGTTTTCTTAATAAAGATACAATTTTTTTTTAGTTAAATGAAAAAGGAAAAAAATATATGTTACACAGTGACATTTTCATTGATTGAAGTTATTTGTTTTTGTACAATATATTTAATATTTAATACTTAATATTTAATATTTAATATTTAATACTTCGAATAAAGATTATTGCTCAAAAAATTGCATAAGAATTTTATATAAGAATATTTGTTAGGAGACATGTCACATATTACAAACCAATAATGATAAACCTTTTCTAACAAAATATCAGTTATTTTTTATTACAAACTTTAAAAGAAAATTAAATATCGCGTATTATTGCTATGTCAATAGCATATTCTATTGTAATGTAAATTTAATAACGAATTATTTATATGTCGAGAGAAAAATAAGAAAAAAGAAAGAGCTTTATACCTCCATTCATCATAGGCAATTTTTCTTTCGATTCATATCTTAAAATATTATCGAGACAATTTTTGATATCTTGAAAACGATATTCTGTGCTCCAATTGTCTCTTTTCTCGTTCATGAAACTTCTTGTTTTTGTCAAAAATAACATTTCAGTATTCGGTTTGATTAATGCAGATTGGATTATTCTATTGCAGGATGTTAGAACTTTTAGTCTAGATAAAAGAGAAATTATCGCCATATTATTTTTTTTTGTTGTTTTGCGATTTATCCGAGCTTCTCGCGAACAAGGTTACGGTTTTGATACATCTTTCCGGTAAGAAAATGTATATGGGTGGTTATATCAGGTATTTGAATCGCACATGACGAACTCTTTTGTCATGTGAATTCGTTCTCTTTTGTTCCTTCGATCATATTTTCACGTATACGAATATTTCAAGAATTCGTTGTATATGTGACATTTCTGTGGCAACATTTCTCAAATCAGTTGGAAAACTTGATAAGAACATATCTCGAATTCTTTTCTTGTTCTGCTTTATATCAGAAAATATTTTCGTACATACTATTATTGATACAATTTTTACATTGTATTTTTTTTGGATAAATTTTTTTTTCTAACGGATAAAATTAATTATTTGGAAAATTTTCACATCCTGTATCCTGATTCTAGAATGGAATAGAAAACACGTGTATTTTCCACGCTTATCTTTGTTTCATGACAAACATCGCGCATCCGCCACAGTATGCAGCTCTTGTGACGTTTGTAAATCAACCGTATTTATAGCAGTCCTTCCGCTCTTCTGTTTGTACTCCGTGAAGTTTCAATCTGTGTTTCGTGGAAATTCGCGGCGTAACTTCAACGCTGGACACGCGCTGTTTAATCAGGTACGTGCAATATTTGCACAAACATTTTGTATATTAAGTCATATCACTCACAAATTTTAAATATCTTATTTTATAGACAAACATAAAATTTTTAAATATGTTAAGTCGTTAATAATTAAATTGTTCGTTGAAGGATTTGTTTTTATAAATGATTCGTTTCAATAAATGTAAATATTAAAAATGTTACGTTAATAATTAATAATTATCTTGAAATACTTTTTGAAATAATCAATTATTTTTTTATTAATTTTCTTTGTGTTTTTCGAATTAATATAAATTCGAAGAATAGTTCTATTTAATTAGATTAATAAATATAAAATACCTCGTATAATTAAATGCGCAATAGGATAAATGGAACAGCAAATAGTATTTCAAAATGTAGTTAATCGAAGCGCCAGGATGTCTGAGATCAGTAGTAAACATGTAGTAGTCAGTATATCGCAATTTGTATTAACGTTCCAATATCGGGAATAATATTTATAATCATTAGTTTTATATATATTCTATATATTTCATGAAGAAATGTGCGCATAATAAATTTTAGAAGTTTTTTGAATGTTTTTTATGAAAATTAAATTATAAATTACGAAAATCATTTTAATGATTAAATTTCAATATTGTAAACTCCAAAAAAAGAAAGAAGTGAAAATTTTTTATAATAAATTTGATCTGAATCTAAATCTGAAATTTTTATCATGGCATTAATGGATCAAGATTGAAAGCAAAATGCAAGAGAGCGGTGATACAAAAGAACAGATAACAGTAATTTAATGTCGAATATACGAAAGACTCCTAAGATCCATTTCTTTCAATAAATTCTACAGAAAGTTCGTCATGTTCCAACTTCTTGATGGAACCTCGTACCTTTGACATTAACCAAGCAATTTTCAAGGAAAACCCTAAAATTTTTACGACTCAAAGTTATAAACTGAAAGTTCAAGGAATGTATAGTTTTGACGTGAAAATATTGCGAGGTATTTTATCATTGTAAAATAAGGAAGCATGAGGAAAAAAACATAAAAAAAAGAATCGTGAATTATTCTAATTATTCTGTTGATAGCAAAAAAATGGAAAGAATAGCGTGACTGTCTTCTTTATTAAATTGGACTTTAGAAATGCATAGTCAGTGATAATTTTCACAACATAAAAGATCCACCTCGAGAAAATTCAATTGGCCGTCACGAGGTTGAATGAAAACAAAATAATTAATCTTCCGGCAAGGACTTCGTTGATGGAATCGATTTTATGCGATGACATCGCTGCAATTTCCAACTGGCTATAGGATCGATTGCGTTCTAAATAAATATTACTTTTGGTAATTAATTGACGTCATATTAATAATAATTTTATAATAAAAATTAATAATCTCACAAATACCATGAATTGCAAATATTTATGACATAATTAAACTAATTACAATTTTTCTGTAAAAAATATATCGATAAAGAAAATAAATGAGAATGTAGAATGGAAATGATGAGGAAGCCCAAAAAAAGAGATAGAGAAGACTAAAAAAATCTTTTTTTGACCTTATTTTATTTAAAATCAATTAACAAAGAAAGTCAATTAAATGAGATTCATTTAACAAAATGAATTTCCACAATATTCTTTCTTAAAATTAATAAATTTTTTTCTTAGGATAAATTATTCATATTTACTTCTTTAAGTTAGAAAATTCCAAAATAAATAAATAATGATCATGATAAATGATCATATAACTTTCGAAACGGAACAATTTCTCGCGATCGAAAGAACACAATCATGAAATGGCGCAAAATGGAAATGATGATAATTATTGCCCGACGATAGAGCAAAAACAATAGAATTGTGTTCAACTGCCGGCTTCTGGAAAACAGGGATATGTCGATGCGTCTTGCGCGGTAACCTTTGACATTTCAAGAGGTCGGGTCGAAGCGTTTCCACCCTTTTGGTCTAGGTACTCCTAGGTACAGCCCGTTTTTCGCTGGTCCGACATCCGGCCATATAAACATGTATACATTACGATATAAAGAAAATGCATAGAACGCATGTGAAAAAAAAGAAAAAAAGAAAAAAAAAAAAATAATCGCGCACTAGCAACGAACGATCGAGAATTTTTTCATTCAGTTGGCGAATTATAATTGGAATGTTACGCAAAAATCTTTTCGGTTTGCGGTGAAGGACGTAATGAAAGTAACCCGAGATGAAAGCGAAACTAGGTCGATGAAAGTCTTTTTTTTTTAATTCCCTTTTTTCCTCTATTTTAACGAACTTTCCAATTTACGTGTAATTGCATGGTGATTAGAAAGAGCATGGATTTACTTGAAATGTCATTGATACTACATTTTGATTTGATAGAATGTAACATAGGATTCCCATATATTGTAAACGAGATGAAATCTGGGATACTGATATAATCATAATTGTGAAATTATATTATTTCCGCACTTGAGTATAATGGAATCTTCTTTAATCTTATTTTTTATCACAGACTGCAATTGATAGAAGTTGTCTAGAAAAAAATATTTTAATATCAAATATAAATTTATGATAAACAAATTTTCGATTTTAAAACAAATTTTTCTATTTAAATACTGCGTACATTTAATGAAAAATTTTATTTAAATCATTGTTATTCAATTTATCCCATTTATAATCTAATATTTTATCATGATATGGTAATATCACTCACAGTAATATTCATAAAAATTCTTAATATCAAAAGAATGCAGAAAGAATATTAAGACAGGCTTCATAAAATATTTTTTAAACAATAAAATATATCAAAA